CACACAGACAACCTCTCGTCAATATGCGTTTTTTGCATTGCATAACTGCAAAAAACGCATAATGACCCTGATACTAGGTCGATAACGACTCAATACCCTGTGATGAAAAAATACGAGGCTCTTGTTCCATTTCTTTTTATGTCACCCGCTTCTCGTTCTCTAAAATTTAATTCATCCTCTCGGGTGTCACAGGCATCAGTTTATAAGCAGCAATGAAGTCTGAGCCCAGATACGCAGATGGGCTAAAATGCCGTGTTAATTCCTGTAGAATGTGGAGAGCGTTAGTCTCCGATTATCTTTGCTTCAAAGTCACCTAAGTTGACGCCTGAGCTTACTCAGATAAAAAATTGAATTTTTTTTGATTACAAAAGCGTTCACTACGCTTCGAATTAATTTCTCCAAACTTGCCAGCCCCGTTTAAGTCAAAAACTCTTTTTTTTTGCTCCTGATTGAGAATTTTACTGACTGAATAAGCAATACGATCCTTTGCCTATTAACTGTGATGAGACGATTCTTGTAACAAAAAAATATTTGCATATACGAAGGTTTCCAAAAAAAAAAAAATGTTACAAAAAAAGTTACGCGGGAAGCTTTCTTAGAAAGGCATAATTCAAATCTGCCTCTCCCCACGGCTTATGGACCCACTCCAAGACGACATTAACTTTCGATGACACAGAATCCTTACTTCACTTTAATGTTAAAGAAACCGAGTTTTGCAAACAAATCCTTCAAAAAAGGAGAGATACTTGGCAGGCGCGCTTCGCTTCTGTGACCACAACAAATATAACGCTCCAAATTGGATGAGTACTGGCAGTGACGATTAGTACCGCAACCCCTTGATGTGTCGTTCAGCGCAGCCGACGGGCTGCAGTATCGATACTGGACACCATCGTCACCAGACACAGGCACAAGCTCTGGAGGGCAAACTGAAAAATCATTGTTTTTTTAAACTCTTTCAAGTCATTTCCGGGAACTTCTGTTGTCCTTCCTCATATCCGCAGTTTTAAGTTACCAACTCAAAACAGAAGGGTATATATAATAGAAGCTACTCCATGGTGGCTTTCTGAAAATGGCTTACACCCAACATTGGCCGTGTCTGGAGAACGGCAGCAGTAGTATGTGTTAATGGTTGCAGTGCGTGTGGAGAACCAACAAAAGAAATTCCCGGGACATGCGCCATCCACATTCGGCGTGCATTGCATCGGCTGCAGCGATACTGCTGAGATGAACGGTGTTGAAGCGGTCGGGCACAACGCTGCAAAATATTCTTGAAATCTTCAAAACACTCGAAAACAAAAGTTGCTAGTCTGAGATTTTTGGCTTCTACTTGCTTCTTAATGGATATCTGGTCTTACTGACCATAACTTGGGTGCTGCTCTCTGTGCCTGCTTTAATAGCCCAGAAAACGCCGTCGCATAGCCACCACGCAATTCCTTTTTATGCGTTTTTGTACGTATGCAAATGCAACCCAGGCTGCATCTCACACGCTTGCCGATACGATCATCCGTCTTTGCGCTAAACTTGCAGATTATTAACAGCAGGAATGGTTTCTGCGCGGCAGTTTAACACTTTGTTTCATACTGGTTCTGTTCTGGACCCTTTCCGCATGCATGGAGAAAAGCCGTCAGCTGGGATGAAGGGAGTGCGTGGGCCTTCAACATGCATGATTATCAACTTTTTGCATGAAGCCTGGTCGCTTTTTCAGTGAACGGTTATTCGTCGAAAAATACAAATTTGAAGAAGTTGGAAGATTACGAAACCCGCACAGTGCACTCGCTTTTGAATTTGCGATAAAACTGAGTATTTGTCATA